ACACACACACACACACTCTTAAGCTGCTGTGAGTGAGATGACTGGTAATCCCCCCCCCCCCTCCCCTTTTGGTGCAGGGGTCACATCAGTCAAAGCAGAGCCTCAGTATAATGTTTGTGATGAAGTGACAGTCTCTGCCGACGGCCTACGTGCACCAACCTACGTGCGTGGACATTAACAAATAGAGCGTGAGGAGACGCCCTTGTGGAGAGTCAGCGTTCTTCGTGCACGGATGGATTGAGATGCCACCTCGTCGGCTACAGCTGTCACACTCCTTCACACTCCAGATGTGTCTCGAGGGGGGGTTGGTTACATGATAATGAAGGATAATGTCCACATTCAAATAGGACCTCCTGTCCAACAGCAGATACAAAAAGCAGAGAGGGTGTAACCGGAGAGGGAAGGAGGGGGTGCAGACTGAGAGGGGGACGTCCCGAGGAATGTCTGTCTCCCCCTCTGCCGCAGACAGCTGAGGACAAAACGATTAACGAGTGAACATGAGACTCTTCTTCTCCTGCTGCTGTAAAGAGGCGGCTGGCAGCAGCACTTAGACCGCAGTGATCACGCCGAGGAGGAACATCTCCTCACCTTCTACCTCCTACAGGCTCCTCCAGCGGAGGGCTGCAGCTCTCTGCAGCTGGAAACATCTGTCCAAACTAACCACGCCGGCAGGCGTCCATGAGTAGGACAGAAAAGGGTTGAATCCACTAGCTGCTCTTGTGTAGTGAATGAAAAACAAAATGTCTACTTCATATTAAATCTCTTAAGCCCTTTCACAATAAAATCCTATTGCAACAGCTTGAACAGAAACATTTTAATCCAGAGCAATGGAGGTTTAATAAACAAGTGACACAATGTCACATAGTGTTTCTATTTTATATTTCATAACGTGCACTAAAGTGCACGGTGGTCAGACGAGTTCCAGGCGCCTTTGTTTTTGTTAAAAGTCCAGTTGGTATCCAGAGATTATCCATCACCCAGATTGTGTTAGAGGGATTATTCTGCCCCTGTGCCAAGACTTCCGCTCTGTGAATGAGGACAGGGGGCGAGGGGAGGGAGGGGGGGGGGGGGGGGGGACGACAAATCAACCTGAGGGCAACAACTACTGCGAGCAACGGGGACGTTTACACACGGGAGGGTGCAGGGCAACAATACAACAACCGAGACAAAGGGCCCCCTGGGGGAGACTCGCTCCTCTGAGCGGACAGCACTTCCATGTAAACCCGTCCACCTGCCGCTCCTTATGGTCGCGCGTGAACAACATGGAGTCTTTCAACAGTTTTTCTTCACGCGAGCCAACCAGGTCAGTAACGACCTCATGGCCAATTAGCAGAGCAAAAACAAAACAAGCTCGTGGCGACGTGATGGACGATGCAAACGCTGATAGACAATCAAAAGCCATCTTCCTCTGCGGTCCAAACGGCAGGAAATATTCTGATTCTTCTGCCTCGTCTGAGTCGACCCGACTGAAGTTCTTGTAGTTTGAGTCGCTACGGTTACTGAGAATGACACGCAGAGTCAGCTGTTCAGCAGCACCACCCTGACGCTGTTTGGGTGCTAATGTCCAGCACTGAGAGGACGGACTACAGTCAACTGGAAGATCTGACATGATTTTTCTAATCTGTCTGTCTGTCTGTCTGTCATTTCAGTCTGATTCTTTCTTGGGGGAAAACGTGTATTTATAAAGTATTTATATACGTGTGTGTGTTTGTGTGCGCGAGAGAGTGAATCTGTCAAAGCCACTCAGACCAAAACAAAATCATCAGTTAACACCACTTGACAGGTGTGGCCAAATTAGCACAGTGGTTGGTGGGGTGACGCAATCCTGTGTGTGCGCACATCTGAGTGTTTGAGGTTTGTGAAAACCGGCTGACACCTAAAGCACGTAAGTGTGACACACACACACACAGAGACAATATGAGTTGGACGGACACGGAGAGCCAGAACCTGACGGCCTCACTCACATCCTGATCTCCTCACGATGTCGGAGTAGCACGCATGCCAGGAGAGAAGCGACTGTGACTTATTATCCACTATAACCCCCCATTTTATCAAGGAATCCGCAGGCTGACCATGAAAATAAGCATCAGTTGACACAGCCAACATTGTCTGCAAATGTTTGTATGTTTGATAAGGACGGAGCTTGAATTTGCATTAAAAAAGCACCGAGCTCACAGCAAGGTAGTGACACGTGTAAACACAATATAAACACATGACGTCCATCACTGAGCAACGCCGTCTCCTCACGTCGTCTCCGGGAAGACTTCTGCGTCCTACTTAAGCCGGCCTACCTTGGGAAGGTACGCCGCATTTCGTATCCTGTCAACCATCTCCTGACCCTCGGGGTGCACGGCGGCCACGTGGGACCACATCCTGTCCCACGTTGGATCTTCAATGGGGAAACCGGTCCTGTTCACGTAGAAAAGAACCCCTCCATCCTTCTCCTCCTCCTCCCCGGGGGAGCGGGTGCTGTTGTTGGGGGGGGAGGCGGCGGACTCCTCCCGGGTGCTGCAGCGGAGGAGGCAGTGCGCGCTGGTGCTCTTGGATCGGCCGTGCCTGCTCAGCTTGGCCGGGGTGGTGCCGGTCCGGCTGGGGGAGTTGGGTCCGGTCATGGATCCCAGAGAGGGACGAGGAGGAGGAGGAGGAGAGGTTGGGGCGGGCGATCCTCCCCCAGCTACAACAGCTTCTCCGTGTTGGTCAGTGTCGGACGGTTCATGTTGATCTTCCACAGCAAACCTGGAAGGAACATTTAAATCAGTCTCAAAACGTCTTCTAAGGAATAAGTCCACATCTCAGGTGAGTTTCTGTACCACAGGGACCAGGAAACATCTCCATAAAGGCTGCGATGTAGGAAGAGAAAGACAGACCAAAGAAGGTTGAGTGTTTCCTACAAGGACCAGCAGAGCAACAGAGCACCAGGCTGATGTATTTATATAAATAACAGACAACGACAGATATAAACAAAGCGTACATCTTACAGAAACATGTTCCTAGAAAGGGTGGGGTTAGTGGTAGTCAATCAAATATAATAATAATAACGTTAGGTTGCATGTTTGATCAACTTATACGAAATAGTACAACGTGATGATCATATCAAGCAGATGTAAAGTAATGTAAACTCCTTAGAATGATGCTAAGAGCTTTAGCTTGAATAAAGTTGGCTAACGTTTCTCTCACAGGAGCACTAATACAATCATCAATCAATCTTCAAATACATTATAGTTTATTATACAATTCTACATAATTAGGTGCATAGTCCAAACATATTTAAGTATAAAAAATGTCTTTAAAACTCACTAGCAAGTATAAACTCACCAGTCACAAGTTGGTGTCGGAGTCAGAGTTAACGTTAAATAACTGTCACTAACTCAACTGTTACCGTATTTTCCACCGTAGATCCCGTTTCAGATAAACGACGCGCCGTCCGGTTTAACGGGCGTTTTACTCGAGTCAAACACCGGGAGACGAGGGGGGGTCCCATTCATACCGGGCCTGCGGTGTCCCCTACACGGGGACAAGTCTTGTTTTGGTCCGAAGGTTTGTAACTTCACCCCCTTCTTGCGTGTGTCAAGCTAACACAAGCTAACACCGCTCGCCCCCGGGACTACGTTAGTTTCCACTTCAAAGTAAAAGCCCCACGTTTGTCGACATCGCTTATTTATGGTATGGATAGCACCGATTGTTGTGGTACACTCTTGCACTCGTCGCTTATTTCAATGTGATATACACGTGGCAGTAAATGTTTTATCAAAATAAATCCAAACAAACGCTTTATTTTCTGATCGGAGATGTGTTTGTTTTGAAAATATCTTTCGGAAGAGCTTTTGTTGCGCTAGCTAGCTCACTGCGGGGGCCGTTGCCTCCCAATGCCCCAGTCCGAAGAAGAATTACCTCCTCTCTGCATTCCTTCCCGTCAGCACCCGTCACGGCTCCTCGGTATTAACCTCCCCAGAAATCCCGACTTCATGTCGAGAACAAAAGGTCTTCTTTTAATCCCTCACATGATTGAATCACTGGGGATAAACCGGACCCTCCAGCCACCCGCCCGTTCGCTCTCTATCTCTCCGCTGCCCGTATCCCCGGCAAAGAATCGGCGGCATCTCATTGGTCGAGTCAACAAAGAGGGGCGGGCCGTAGAGTCCGCTCCGCCATAATTGGAATTTACGACGTTCTCTGATTGGTGGATTTTGATAGACGAAGGCGTCAACAAGTGATGCATCTGCAACAAATTGGATTGTCAGTCACTCGCTGCAACTGTTGGTTTTTGCACATTTTGTACACATTTTGGGTGCTTGACAAGGTTACTTCCCAAAAAATAATACAATTGGAGCAGTAAATTATTACATTAAAAAAATTACAATATATATTTCTTTTATCATCTGTTATAATATATATTAGCAAAATATAATTTTAAGTTCAAAATGTCATGGTAAATATATGACTAAGCATACATCATGTTGAGGAAGGAGGGGATTGCTAATCACATTGCAATGCATGTTTTGTAAACTTAATAACTATGAATTATGAATCTACAACCGTACAATATTACAGCACAACATTACAGCACAATAATGTTCCCCAACAGCAAGTTTGCTGTATTAAAGTATCATTTAAAAAACCCTGTCTCCCACAAAATGACGTTTTCAATCGAATTGAAGATTCATTTTCAAAGTTGAAATATCTCAGTTTGAAACTGTAAAAAGAAAACATTCCCCCTCAGATTTCCACTGACTCATTTGGAACTCATTTGTGATCCATCAAAAGCAAACATGACCCACTGCAACGCACCTTCCCTCAAACCAACTCTCATCTCACAAACAACGATGGTTTTTTTTTTATCAATCTTTCCATCTGCAGAGTTACTGGTGTCCTTGAACCATCGAAGCTTCTCTGATCATCTCCCACGCTGTTAAAAGGCAGAGCAACATCATCTCCATCCTCGACAGCGAGGGAGAGGAAAGGTTCTCAGCTTTAAGTTCTCGAGAGACAAACAAGTGAAATAAGAGAATCAGGTGTGTTCATAGTTGTATTTTAAATAAAACAGATGTGTAAAGTCCCTGTTAAAACCCTCTTGGCTGTCTGAGTCAAACGTTGGATAATTAGTTTCACAACACTAACATACGTAATATTTCATCATCGCTGGTAATCTGGAAAAAGACAAATGCAATCCAAGTGAACCATCGTTCTTCCCTCTCTGACTGTCTCTCTCTCAAAGGACTCCGTCTTCTCAAAGAAAGAAGAAAAGACGACTTCCTGTTTTAAGTTATTTTTCAACTTCCTTATAGTCTCATTCTTTCTTCCTCTCATGTCGTCGCTTTTTTCTTTAATTCTTTTTTAACCCAAAGTGAAAACGTTCCCTGTCCTTCTCCCTCTGTGAGTCACTCTGCTGGCTGCAGGGGAAAGAGGAGGAATATAAACCCTCCAAGTCTTCCTGTTTGGTTTTCATTTGTTTGTTTACATGCAACAAATTACAAAAATTGTTTTTATAATTGAACGACTGATACAACATATCCTCTCAACCCTCTAGAAGTAAATGGACCTCACTTTACTTTTCTAGTGTTCTATTCTCTGACATCATTCACACCCTGATGACGTTCAGGTTTAAGTGTCTCTAAGGACACGTGGACACATGCGGAGCCGATGATCTGACCTCCGATCTGATGGTTGAAGGACGACCCTGATCTCCACACACTTCCTTTCTGTCTTCTTTTATTTAGTTCAAAGCAAACTGAACATCCACAAGGTGAAACTATTACAGGAATATATAATAAAAACAATTAACCCGGACTATGAACCCTCATACATTATATGTTAATAATTATTTTATGAGGACACCTTAAAGAGAAAATACTTACGAGAGCAATAATCAAACCATCACTACACATACATGATAAAAATCAGATCATGAAACCTGTGCTCACTTTAAGTTTACGTATAAACGGTAAACATCACTGAGCCTGAAAATACATCATATATTACATACTAATTTTCTAATGAATGTTGCACATTGTTCTATAGTTCACTTACACCCTCATCTGGATGGATATAAATCAAAAGAACTAAATCCTACAAATTATCATAATGTAAAAAAACGTGGTCAAAAGCTCACTTTAAATGCAAAACTAGGTTTCAGTATTATCATATTTATATTTTCCAATAATAATCTGATTTATCTGGTGGGAACATTCAGGTTATTCAAATAAAACATCAATGAATATAAAATGCTCTAAACATTTTGCTAAATGGCTCAATTCATCTCAGCAGTGAGTGAACGTGATGAAGAAAGCTTGACTTGGTTTACAATCATCAACGTAGCCTCTTATTTGTTGGGTGTGTTGACGACCGCGTAGAGGTCACTGGGATCAACGGAGGCTCCGGCACTAGAAGAAGAAGCAGGAGGCGGAGCTTTCACAGTGCAGTAAGTCACCACATCGTCGCCATCGTCGCCATCTTTGACCCGAGCCTGGAAACGATCACATGATGACGACTTGATTCAACACGTCAACAAACACACACAAAGACCACGAAGCAAAGAACACAAAGTAAAGCAAAGATAAATAGATTTAAATACTTCCCATCAGCCGCAGCTCTAATTTGTGCCCAATGCCTAAACTCTCCACCAGGGGAATGACGTGTGTGTGTGTGTGTTTGTGTGTGTGTGTGTGTTTGTATTTGTGTGCGGAACTACATTTGCTTTGCACCAGCATGTAGCATTGTGAGCACGTTAGCATCGTGGTTGTGGTTAGCATGGTGATGCAATTAGCTCAAACACTTCCTCATCGGTGCAGCCAATCAGAGAGCTCACCCGGGCTCCTCCGCCGGCCGTCCTGGTGTAGCTGACGGAGGCGTAGGCTACGCCTTCCTCGGGGTCGGCCTGCACACAGGAGACAACAACAGGCCGCTCAGAGACGTGTTAGCATCGTGGTTGTGGTTAGCATGGTGATGCAATTAGCTCAAACACTAGAGGGGCCGTCTCCTGAAAGCCAATCAGCCAGCGCTCCACAGTGAGTGTTTCACTAAAAATAGGAATGTGCGAACTTGAAAAATAATTTAGGAGCAAAGTGCGTGAGGAAAACAGTCCTTCTTTCAGGGTTTATGTTTGGTTCTGTTGTATCATAGATGAGTTTAAAATGTGTCCCTGGGAGTCTGGACACGGAGGACATCGGTGGTATTCAAGTGTTTTTGGTTTTTAGCGTCAACACAATGAAAACAAAGATGTATTTTAGTTGATAAGTTCATGTGGATTTAAAACTTACGATGTTTTCGTCCGTCTGTGTTCTTTTCCCTGAAGAGATGAAAAAGAGTCGACTTTAGTTTCAGCAGATAAAAGCATCTGATGAGGATGTGTAACTTCTCACCTTGATTTCTCCATCTGATGAAGACCACGAGGATGATGAAGAGGACCAATAAACCCACCAGCGGGATGACGAGCCACGGCCACCAGACTGAGGGAGGATGAGAACATTTAAACACAGACACGAGGCACCAAACTGTCTTTAATAAGTCAATCAGTGTCTTTAATTGAATAATAACCCTCAAATGAATGTAATAAGATGTTTCTAACACTTTATAGCACATAAACACTTTATAGCAGAGATATTAAAGACATTTAATATCTCTGCTATAAAGAAAACACACATTTTTAAAGGGTTCCAGAAGTGTGATAAATATTCTAAACACATGTGGTTTTACTCTGATGTTGTATTGACATCGTTAGATAGATGACATCATTTTATTCCTCATTCAGTCTCCTCAGGTAGTAAAGGAGGAGGAGGCCCATCGGGGGAGGGAAACGTTACTCCACCTGCACCACCAGGTAGTGACGTCCTCCTCTCTCTCCTTGTTATGGATGTTTTATTAATTGTCATGACTTATGAATGACACACGTCTGAGTCCCACATGGTTGCTCCCTGATTTTTTTTAAATGGGATTGAAAAAACATCAGGAGCAACATGTGGGACATGTGGACGTGTGTCAGTACGACATTCATAAGTCATGATTGTTAATATAACATCCATAACAAGGAGAGAGAGGAGGACGTCACTACCTGGTGGTGCAGGTGGTGTAATGTTTCCCTCCCCCGGTGGGCCTCCTTTGGTTTAGTGGAATATGATATGAAACACAGACACAAGAAAAGGAGGTGAAATAAATCAGTGTTTACTACCTGAGGAGACTGAATGAGGAATAAAATGATGTCGTCTTAAAACAAACGTACCTGTTTGTTCACATGAGAACTGACTGCAGGCTTCAAACAGCGGAGTTTTTCCACTCTGATCGTCTCTCACTTCACATCTCAGTGACTTATAATACTTTGACTTCTGATGAAGAGGAGCTTTAAACGTCACAGTGGCTTCACAAGCAGCGTGTGATGTCGTCACATCAGTCTGTTTGCCGTCATAAAGCCACTTTACTGTGTGTTCACAGTAAGTGACTAAGCAGGACAACTCAACCAGACCCTCGTAGTCCTTTTCCTCCACTGGTGAAGATGTTCATAATGTGAGAAAGACAACAAGAGTAACATTAACTTCTTCATAATTTAAATGATAATAATGTTTCAGTGTGTGGACAGTTTGAGCTGAAATGATTTAATGTAAATACTCACTTGTAAACACGTACAGAAAGACCACACCATCTGGACCTTGTTGTTTTCCTGCTTCATTAAAATCTCTGTTGGTGTAACGACCAACATCTTCACCTGAGACGTTTCTTATAACCAGAGAACAGTTTGCTGTCAAACTCAGTCTGTTGGTTTTAGCTTCTGGAATCAAAGCGTTATTATTAATCTTCCCAAGTTTAACCAGCTCCACAGATGATCCACTACGACTGTAAAGCCAAGTAGAACCGTTACATCTGTCCTGATCCACACGGTTAGAAGGCAAAGTGACGTCATCTCCGGCTCTGACGAGGAAGTGGGGGTCAGGGGGGGTTTGTCCACTTACTATTGACACATATGAAAGAACTGAGGTAAGAATACAGATCTCTAGACTCCAGTCACACGTGATGAAGACATCGATAACAAACAGCATCAAACGTCCTTTCACTAGAGTCCAGTGGACACTGGACATGAAGGTGGCCGGTTGGACTCTCCTCACGTTGGTGGAACAGTTGCTGTGTGTTTGCTGTTCTTACCTGCAGCCTGAAGCAGCAGCAGCATCACACATAAAGTCCTTTGAGTCCCTCTGAGTTCCACCATGGTGTCTCTGCTCCTCAAGGCGTCTGACCGAGTGCTTCTTCCTCACAGATGCAGCTTCTGCTTCCTCTGGTTGCACAGCGTCACTTCCTCGTCGTGCTCATAGAGACGACGTGTCGGAGCTCTGAGGATGAGTTTCTTCCTCTTTGCATCTTGTGGTTGTTTCCTCAGAAGTAAAGAGGAAGCGTTGTGGTGAGAACGTGTGAGAACAGCAGCAGCTCTGCAGGTTTGAGCCTTTAGTGGAGACCAGATCACGTGAGGACTCAGCATGCTGGTTCCCTCCATAAGGGATCGTGTTCATCAGACGTTACTGTGAGGAACGTTTGATTAGTTATTAATCACTTAGAGATCAGGACTCATGCAGACTCTACAGAACCGCTCTCAGTTGGTCTGTTTAATTTGAAAAATAGAATCGACCAATGAGAATCTCCAACTGAGTCTTTTTTAATGGTGTAACAAATGTAAACAAAGTGTTCTCTAAGTGGATTTGAATCAGAGTCGATGTGGATGAAGCAGGAACATAAAATGAGCGATGGAGGTAAAGTCTCTGCTGGACAGAAACAACGTGAGGACAGCGTTACCTTCTGGGTCATCGAGTAGAACCTAAATAAAGAATATGGACTTTCACTGGTTCCCTTAAACAAAACACAACGGATGAGTCCATATCAAGCAGATTTCTTATTTTGTTTGATATTCCTCATCAATAAAAGCGACTTTATTAAGGCTGACAGCTCGTTCAAACCCAACTATGTGAATCAAACACGTTAGACAAACAGCAGACATGTAGAAGAAGAAAAAGAGACAAAGTTTAACCTCAAAGGAGCATAATTCATCATGAGAGCACGTGGATGACGTCACTCCACCGTGTCTTTAATAGCAGGAAGAAGTTTGATGCAACGCTCTGAGCTCCCTCTGCTGGATTCCCCTGGAAACTACTACTATAGTACTACTAATATATCCTATATGAATATGAAATGTGAAGAATGGGCCTGTTAGCGTGTGCGTGATTCAACCTGACACGCACGCGTTATGCAATGAGTCACCTGACGCACACGGTCCTGCTGTAAATCTACTCTGAGAGCTGTGTGAGGACCTGAAGGGGCCCGGCGACAGTTTGTGGGCGGTGTTGGCGGTTCGTCCCTCCCCCCTTTGGATGAAGCCTATTCTCAGAAGTCTTTGCCAACCAGTCGCAGAGCAGGAGGCTCTAGAAGAACACAGGTGTCCTCTTCTTGAAGAGTCATGGAGATGTTCGACGGGTTCCTCCAGACCTCTGGCTCCGCCTCCCTGTTGGCGGCTCTGGTGGTCCTGCTGCTCGTCTACCTCGTCTCCTCCAAAGACGAGAGGAAGGAACCTCCGGACCGAGACCACTTCCCCTCCTGGGGAAGACCTCAGGAGACCCTCCAACAGCCTGCTGAAGGTGAGCATGTTGTTGATGGAGGGATGAGCGATGTGAACACATTATAATACATTATTATGCAGTACGGGATTGTTCCGTCTGCTCAAACCAGGTGGACGCTTTTGTCCCTCACGGAGATCTTAGGTGTCCCTAACTGCTTCTGTTCTCAGCTTTCCAAGAGATATGGACCAGTGTTCACCGTCCACATGGGGCCCAATGAGGTGGTGGTCCCCGCCGGATACGCGGCGGTGAAGGAGGCGCTCGTGAACCACGGCGACGAGTTTGGGGAAAGACAGCCACCGAGGATGCTGCACGAGATCGGTGGAGGTCACGGTAAAGGAGGACATGAGAGGACATGAGTTTGTCTCAACCCATTTCTTGTCATTGCGTCTTCATAGCATGTGTCCTCTCAGGGGTTTTAGCGTCCAACGGCGAGTCGTGGAAAGAGATGAGGCTCTTCGCCACGACTAACCTGAGGGACTTTGGGACGGGCAAGAAGGCCGGCGAGGACAAAGTCCCTCCAGGAATGTGAGCGACTTGTTGAGGTGTTTGAGACGTTCAAAGGTCCGTATCTTCTGTTCTTCCAGCTACTTTGTGGAATGTTGAGCAGAGTAAATCTTTACCAGTTTTCTCTTGTTGCAGGAGAAGCTTTTGATTTGACACAACCGATGAACTGTGCAGTTTCTAACATCATCTGCTCCATCGCGTACGGCAGCCGATTCGAGTACGATGACCCGAGGTTTACATCCATGGTGGACGGAACCAACAGAATCATTCGACTTATGGACTCACCGTCGCTCAATCCACTGATGTGCAGAGGACTTGTGGACGCCTTTCTGCTCCGGAGGTTAGAAAATGTGTGATCTACCGGCAGATTCATCTCAATGTTTCAGAATTGTTAATGTTTGAGTGGATGTCAAATGATCCAATATCGGGTCAAAGGGGTCGTCTTGATTATGTGTTGATGATTTGAATCAGATTCATAAGAATAACTGACTTTTATTCATCTACAGCAGCGATTCCCAAAGTGTGGGCCGTGGCCCACTGGTGGCCCGTGGAGGTACTGCAGGTGGGCCGCGAGAGGTCATTTACAATAAATAACATGTTTTTAATTTTCAACTTTGAAAAGATTGAAATTAATATAAAAATATGTCAAATGGGGCGCCCTCTTGTAGTATTAAAGTAAATATATATGAGCTCCGGAGAAAATGGTATACAAAACATACATTGTCGGTTAATACATTTTTAATCGGTTAAATTGTTACGGTCATTTAATCATCTCTAGTTTATGTTTTGATCAGAGTTGTGATTAAAGGTTTGGGTGGGCCGCAAAAGATTTTCAGATTTCAAATTGGGCCGCGGCATCCTTGAGTTTGGGAACCGCTGGTCTACAGGAATCTGGGAATATCAGTGTAACGGGTGTTTGACTCCACTGGCCATCGCTAAGAGTCATGACAGGGCGTCACGTGGGTGTCATATCTTTTATTTTTTGTTTAACAGTTATGATGCCACGAGGTATTCTATGAGGACGCTAACCTCTGTATGTTCGCCGGGGTGTCTAACATCACAAAATAAACGCTCGGATGGAGCCGAATGTGGTCCGTGTCCTGGTAGTAATTCTAAAAACACGACGCAAGAGAGAGTTCAACCGCTACGCCAGCAGTCACGTCCACGATGAAAACCTCATGATGACGGTTAAGAATCTGTTTGCTGCCGGAACCGAGACCACGGCCACTACGCTGAGACGGGCCCTTCCGTTCACGGCCAAGTGTCCCAAGATACCAGGTACTGACTCATAGACCTGAACACACGCCACAGGAGACTCTGTGACACACATTTACTTACACGTCCAGGGATTGAATAGAGAAGGACGATTCATCCAATCGGAGGTCTCACGAAATGTACATCTGATTAAATACGTTGGTGCCAAATCCAAATGGCCTACGGGGGGAACTCTGTGAACTCCACGGTGACACGAAGCCACTTGGCCGGGAGCTTCACAACACTAACATACGTAATATTTCATCATTACTGGTAATCTGCAGCAGTAGAAAGATAATCCAAGTGAACCATCGTGCTTCCATCTCTGTCTCTCTCTCAACGTCTCCGTCCTCTCAAAGAAAAAGACAACCACCCTGTTCGTAGTCATCTTTCAACTTGCTCATCTTCCTCTGATGTCGTCGCTTTTTTCTTTAATTCTTTTTTAATCCAAAGTGAAAATGTTCCCTGTCCTTCTCCCTCTGTGAGTCACTGTGCTGCAGCAGGAGAAAGAGGAGGAATATAAACCCTCCAAGTCTTCCTGTTTGGTTCTCTTTTGTTTGTTTACGTACAAAAAACATGAAATAACTCAACAACTGATACATTACATGTTATTGTGTGTCTTGCTCAGGGACACTTTGACACGGAGGAGCCAGGATTCAAACTGACGACCGTCACTTTCTCTACCCCATGAGCCACCGACCCGAACAACACATTCCCTCTCAATCCTCTAGAAGTAAATGGACCTCACTTCCCTTTTCTTGTGTTCTATTCTCTGACATCATTCACACCCTGATGATGTTCAGGTTTAAGTGTCTCTAAGGACACGTGGACACATGTGGAACCGGGGATCTGACCTCCGAACCGGTGTTTGAAGGAGGACCCTGATCTCCACAGTCGCCCTGAGAGCCTCCTAGAGGCCCCAGAAGGGGAACGTCTGGACCTTCAGACCCGGACTCGGTGTCTTTGTGCTCTGTCGTGTTCGGGACGTTTCTGGAGGCTCAAACAGGTTCTGGATCACAACGCACTTCCTTTCTGTCTTTTATTTAGTTCAAAGCAAACTCAACATCCACGAGGTGAAACTATTACAGGAATATATAATAAAAAACAATTAATCTGGACTATGAACCCTGATAAACTATATGTTACTAGTTTATTTCATGAGGACATGAAGAACAATCGCAAAAGCAACAAATCCAACAAACAACAAATTATCACAACAAAATTATCATAATGTAAAAAAACGTGGTCAAATGCTCACTTTAAATGCAAAACTATGTTTCATTATTATCATATTTACATTCTCAGTATGCCTCCATTGATTGATCTGGTGGGAACAGGTTATTCAAATAAAATTATCAATAAATATAAAACACGTTAACTTACTACACCCTGTTCTGGATAGAAAGGCTTTTTTTTATCCAACAATTGCAAAAGGAATAAATCATACTATCATAACAAAATGATCATAATGTAAAAAATGTAAAATGTAATCAAAAATGCGCACTTTAAATGCAAAACTATGTGTTAATATTATCATATTTACATTTTCAGTCTTGTTTTACTCCTTTTTCCAATAATAATCTGATTTATCTGGTGGGAACATTCAGGTTATTCAAATAAAATCATCAATGAATGTAAAATGCTCTAAACATTTTACTAAATGGCTCAATTCATCTCAGCAGTGAGTGAACGTGATGAAGAAAGCTTGACTTGGTTTACAATCATCAACGTAGCCTCTTATTTGTTGGGTTTGTTGACGACCGCGTAGAGGTCACTGGGATCAACGGAGGCTCCGGCACCAGAAGAAGAAGCAGGAGGCGGAGCTTTCACAGTGCAGTAAGTCACCGCATCGTCGCCATCTTTGACTCGAGCCTGGAAACGATCACATGATGACGACTTGATTCAACACGTCAACAAACACACACAAAGACCACGAAGCAAAGAACACAAAGTAAAGCAAAGATAAATAGATTTAAATACTTCCCATCAGCCTCAGCTCTAATTTGTGCCCAATGCCTAAACTCTCCACCGCGAGAATGATGTGTGTGTGTGTGTGTGTGTGTGTGTGTGTGTGTGTGTTTGTATTTGTGTGCAGAACTACATTTGCTTTGCACCAGCATGTAGCATTGTGAGCACGTTAGCATCGTGGTTGTGGTTAGCATGGTGATGCAATTAGCTCAAACACTTCCTCATCGGTGCAGCCAATCAGAGAGCTCACCCGGGCTCCTCCGCCGGCCGTCCTGGTGTAGCTGACGGAGGCGTAGGCTACGCCTTCCTCGGGGTCGGCCTGCACACAGGAGACAACAACAGGCCGCTCAGAGACGTGTTAGCATCGTGGTTGTGGTTAGCATGGTGATGCAATTAGCTCAAACACTAGAGGGGCCGTCTCCTGAAAGCCAATCAGCCAGCGCTCCACAGTGAGTGTTTCACTAAAAATAGGAATGTGCGAACTTGAAAAATAATTTAGGAGCAAAGTGCGCGAGGAAAACAGTCCTTCTTTCAGGGTTTATGTTTGGTTCTGTTGTATCATAGATGAGTTTAAAATGTGTCCCTTGGAGTCTGGACACGGAGGACATCGTGGTATTCAAGTGTTTTTGGTTTTTAGCGTCAACACAATGAAAACAAAGATGTATTTTAGTTGATAAGTTCATGTGGATTTAAAACTTACGATGTTTTCGTCCGTCTGTGTTCTTTTCCCTGAAGAGATGAAAAAGAGTCGACTTTAGTTTCAGCAGATAAAAGCATCTGATGAGGATGTGTAACTTCTCACCTTGATTTCTCCATCTGATGAAGACCACGAGGATGATGAAGAGGACCAATAAACCCACCAGCGGGATGACGAGCCACGGCCACCAGACTGAGGGAGGATGAGAACATTTAAACACAGACACGAGGCACCAAACTGTCTTTAATAAGTCAATCAGTGTCTTTAATTGAATAATAACTATCAAATGAATGTAATAAGATGTTTCTAACACTTTACTTTATAGCAGAGATATTAAAGACATTTAAAAAACATCAGGAGCAACATGTGGGACTTATACATGTGGACGTGGGTCAGTCCGACATTTATAATTCATGACAATTAATATAACATCCATAACAAGGAGAGAGAGGAGGACGTCACTACCTGATGAAGAGTCGCTCTGTGCAGGTGGTGTAATGTTGTCCTCCCCCGATGGGCCTCCTTTGGTGGAATATGATATGAAACACAAACACAAGAAAAGGAGGTGAAATAAATCAGTGTTTACTACCTGGTCTTTATTGTGGATTTTAGAATATTTATCACACTTCTATGGAACCCTTTAAAAATGTCTGTTTTCTTTATAGCAGAGATATTAAAGAGGTTTAATAAACATCAGGAGCAGCATGTGGGACTCAGACGTGTGTCCTTCATAAGTTATGATTATTAATATAACATCCATAACAAGGAGAGAGAGGAGGACGTCACTACCTGGTGGTGCAGGTGGAGTAATGTTTCCCTCCCGCGATGGGCCTCCTCCTCCTTTACTACCTGAGGAGACTGAATGAGGAATAAATTGATGTCATCTATCTAACGATATCAATACGACATCAGAGTAAAACCACATGTGTTTAGAATATTTATCACACTTTTGGAACCCTTTAAAATGTGTGTTTTCTTTATAGCAGAGATATTAAATGGATCTAATAAACATCAGGAGCAACATGTGGGACTCAGACGTGTGTCCTTTATAAGTCATGATTATTAATATAACATTCATAACAAGGAGAGAGAGGAGGACGTCACTACCTGGTGGTGCAGGTGGTGTAATGTTTCCCTCCCCCGATGGGCCTCCTTTGGTTTAGTGGAATATGATATGAAACACAGACACGAGAAAAGGAGGTGAAATAAATCAGTGTTTACTACCTGAGGAGACTGAATGAGGAATAAAATGATGTCGTCTTTTCACAAACGTACCTGTTTGTTCAGATGAGAACTGACTGCAGGCTTCAAACAGCAGAGTTTTTCCGCTCTGATTGTCTCTCACTTCACATCTCAGTGACTTATAATACTTTGACTTCTGATGAAGAGGAGCTTTAAACGTCACAGTGGCTTCACAAGCAGCGTGTGACATCATCACATCAGTCTGTTTGCCGTCATAAAGCCACTCTACTGTGTGTTCACACTCAGAGAATCTCAACACAAAGCAGGAAAACACAACCAGACCCCCGTAGTCCTTTTCCTCCACTGGTGAAGATGTTCACAATGTGAGAAAGACAACAAGAGTAACATTAACTTCTTCATAATTTAAATGATAATAATGTTTCAGTGTGTGGAAAGTTTGAGCTGAAATGATTTAATGTAAATACTCACTTGTAAACATGGACAGAGAGACCACACCATCTGGACCTTGTTGTTTTCCTGCTTCATTAAAATCTCTGTTGGTGTAACGACCAACATCTTCACCTGAGACGCTTCTTATAACCAGAGAACAGTTTGCTGTCAAACTCAGTTTGTTGCTTTTAGCTTCTGGAATCAAAGCGTTATTATTAATCTTCCCAAGTGTAACCAGCTCCACAGATGAATCAGTACGATTGTAAAGCCAAGTAGAACCGTCACATCTGTCCTGATCCACATGGTTAGAAGGCAAAGTGACGTCATCTCCGGCTCTGACGAGGAAGCGGGGGTCAGGGGGGGTTTGTCCTCTTACTATTGACACATATGAAAGAACTGAGGTAAGAATACAGATCTCTAGACTCCAGTCACACGTGATGAAGTCATTATTTGTGCCCCTCCCATCTGGCAGGAGGCTGAGGTCCATCAGGACTTAGACTTGCCGTCGGCAGTCGGGCTCATCAACAGATTCCCGTCCCCCACTGACTGACTCTGTCGTCCCACCGGTCGCTTTCTTTCTCACTGCACACGTCACTTTCTGTTCGCTGGTGCACTTTATTTTTCATTTCTAAACATTTCTTTTATCCCTTTATTTTTAAACTAACCCGTAGCATTATATTTGATCTTATTCCTCGTGCACTGTTGTCTTGTCCTTCATTGTCGTACTGTCTGCTGTTACGCAACCGCCAAGTGTCGCCGTGGTGCAGGAATAGAGGGTGTGCTGGGAACCGCAAGGTTGGTGGTCTGAGTCCCAGCTGCCCCGTGTCCCTGAGCAACACACCTAACAACCTATTTGCTCCCCGGGCAAAAATATAATACGCCATGGGTTAAAAATGTAATGTAAGTAGCTTTGGATAAAAGCAAAAATGTAAAGTCAAATTCCTTGCATGTCTGACATATTATGGCAATAAATGTTTCCTGATTCCTGATTAACAAACAGCATCAGATGTCTTTTCACAAACGTACCTGTTTGTTCACATGAGAACTGACTGCAGGCTTCAAACAGCAGAGTTTTTCCACTCCGAGTGTCTCTCACTTCACATCTCAGTGACTTATAATACTTTGACTTCTGATGAAGAGGAGCTTTAAACGTCACATTGGCTTCACAAGCAACGTGTGATGTCGTCACATCAGTCTGTTTGCCGTCATAATGCCACTTTACTGTGTGTTCACACTCAGAGAATCTCAACACAAAGCAGGACAACACAACCAGACCCCCGTAGTCCTTTTCCTCCACTGGTGAAGATGTTCATAATGTGAGAAAGACAACAAGAGTAACATTAACTTCTTCATAATTTAAATGATAATAATGTTTCAGTGTGTGGACAGTTTGAGCTGAAATGATTTAATGTAAATACTCACTTGTAAACACGTACAGAGAGACCACACCATCTGGACCTTGATGTTTTCCTCCTTCATCATAATGTCTGTTGGTGTAACGACCAACACCTTCACCTGAGACGTTTCTTATAACCAGAGAACAGTTTGCTGTCAAACTCAGTCTGTTGGTTTTAGCTTCTGGAATCAAAGCGTTATTCTTAATCTTCCCAAGTGTAACCAGCTCCACAGCTGGATCACTACGACTGTGAAGCCAAGTAGATCCGTTACATCTGTCCTGATTAGAAGGCAAAGTGACGTCATCTCCGGCTCTGACGAGGAAGCGGGGGACAGGGGGGGTTTGTCCTCTTACTATTGACACATATGAAAGAACTGAGGTAAGAATACAGATGTTTAGACTCCAGTCACACGTGATGAAGACATCGATTACAAACAGCATCAAACGTCCTTTCACTAGAGTCCAGTGGACACTGGACATGAAGGTGGCCGGTTGGACTCTCCTCACGTTGGTGGAACAGTTGCTGTGTGTTTGCTGTTCTTACCTGCAGCCTGAAGCAGCAGCAGCATCACACATAAAGTCCTTTGAGTCCCTCTGAGTTCCACCATGGTGTCTCTGCTCCTCAAGGCGTCTGACCGAGTGCTTCTTCCTCACAGATGCAGCTTCTGCTTCCTCTGGTTGCACAGCGTCACTTCCTCGTCGTGCTCATAGAGACGACGTGTCGGAGCTCTGAGGATGAGTTTCTTCCTCTTTGCATCTGGTGGTTGTTTCCTCAGAAGTGAAGAGGAAGCGTTGTGGTGAGAACGTGTGAGAACAGCAGCAGCTCTGCAGGTTTGAGCCTTTAGTGGAGACCAGATCACGTGAGGACTCAGCATGCTGGTTCCCTCCATAAGGGATCGTGTTCATCAGACGTTACTGTGAGGAACGTTTGATTAGTTATTAATCACTTAGAGATCAGGACTCATGCAGACTCTACAGAACCGCTCTCAGTTTGGTCCTGATCCGGCTTCACGCAGCTTTGAGCCTCTTTGTGTTTCATCACAGGACTCCTTCCTGAACATGAAGCATGCACACATGTCATGTGATCACTCTGACATCGTTCTGTTAACTGGTGCCACATTTAAAAAGTGTCCGTAGTCTAATTTTGGATTAATGCAGAAGTCACTTTTTGGTTTTAAGTCGTTCCTCTTTGCATCTTGTGGTTGTTTCCTCAGAAGTGAAGAGGAAGCGTTTTGGGGAGAACGTGTGAGAACAGCAGCAGCTCTGCAGGTTTGAGCCTTTAGTGGAGACCAGATCACGTGACAACTGCTGCTGGTTCCCTCCATAAAGGGATCATGTAAACTTAAGAAGCACAAAATACCCAGATGTTTCTTTGATGTGCCATTTAGAATGACAGTAAACAGCTGGCAGAGGAAACAAAGATAACATGGGATTAAAGAGAATGTTTGCTGTGTTTCTGTGGAGGGAATGAGGGAACGTCACAGAGTCACAGCGGCCTGACGGGCGTTCAACCTCCATTCAAAACAACAGATGAATCAGCACTTTGTTTGTAAAGCGTCTTAAGAAGCATCCTGTGTTATAGCTCTCAAAACCGTAGTGGACCGTAGATGACAACCAGCTACAACCATAATTTACCACCATTACCGGCACATTGAGACCAATGCGTCCAGCTCGCAGACCGGTCCGTCAGTCTGAATCCGTGAATATCTTGCCAACTTTACCGAACTACGGAGGAGCCTGCGCATATCTTGTCTCATTATTTCGATATTTCCAAAATTGATCCGTATTGAAAGTTGGCAAGATATTCACAGATTCACACTTCATTTTACCAATACGGACCGGTCTGCGCGCTGGACGCAGCCATCGTCTGCGCCATCTTGGATGAATTTGGGGCATGACGGTACATAGGAATCCCTATATGTGAATTGCTTTAACAAAACAAACACTTTTAAACTTAAGGTTTTTAATTCACAACATGAATTAAACATTGTTCAAACAAAACAAAGCTGCATCTTTTAAAAAGTAAATTATTACTTTGTCTCAAGAGTATAATAGTAAAAAAATAAGTCATATTTACCTGAGCCCTTGCTGTCTAACAGGGGGCCTCGGACATATCAAAATTGAATAAAGTGATCAAACAGCCTGCACTGCATAAATTATTCATTAAATATAGACTAATCATTATTTAAGCTACAAAAGTTCTTTAGTCAAGAGCAGTGAGAAATGTTCTCTGTTGTTTTGTTCTTTGATTAGTTTACTGACAGGAAGCTTTAGTGGCCGCGGTCTCTTTAAGAACAGCTGACAGACGCAGATCTCACGCGCGCCTCATTCTGTCACAACTCTTCACGTTCACCGTGAGACTGCGGCTCTTATGTCATGAAAAAGATACTCAACAAATGGACATTTTGGCATAATTGTGTGTGTTATTGTAAGTTCAAGCAAGAACGAGAACCGTACTTTGGCACGCTGCTGTCTGTGTGTGCACAATGCGCAAGTGTTGCGGAAGAACACTGTAGCCGGAACTACTTCACTCAGTTAATGTCTATGGCGAATCACGCAGGCGCGGGATACCTCCGCCGCAGCCGAGCCGACCCCGGGATAACATCGTCAGAATATAAACACTTAACCCAATAACCGATGACTGTTTTTTTACTTAACCTGAATAGTGATTCAGGTTAAGTAAAAAAAAACGGTTTGGAAAATGGATTCATGATGTACTCATTTTGAACATAAGTTACAAACTGCAGCAGCTGCTGAGTAACAGTAGCTGCTAACTTACATGACAAAGCACTCGCACAATTAGGGCTGCCAACTCTCCCAACCCCAAATCAGGGACACTTTCGCCCCCCCTCTGCATCTTCATGGCTTCATCGACAGCTCTCGGCGGCAGACAGTTCCCAGTCCGTTTTGTAATTGCACACTGTTTTTTGTCTTTGCAGCGCCAGCCTCACTGCTCACATTAACACGCAGGCGCGCTCTCACCTCGCGTGCTCCGCTCCCGCCACCCGGCACCGCGCACACAACCGGGAGTTTTTCGCGCGTCATTGACTTAGGAGGCTGTGTATTGTGCGGCACAATACAAATGCGACCACGTACCATTTTAACTAGCGCATTCTCAAAAAAAGGGCTGTTCTTGTCTTTACTAAAGTCAAAATTAGGCCAATCAAAGGGAAGGGTGCTCGTACAAATCACAAGGGAGTGGGGACTCGCTGTTTTTGCTGATGCTGAATCGTCTTTCATACAATACATTCATTACAAATGTAACTAAGTTAAACTTATGTTTAAACTACACCTGATGAAACTCACTTCACCTCCAGAGGCTCTGCAAGGGGCAGCTCAGTCTCTCGGTTGCAGGACCAGCGCACAGACTCGCTGTGTGCTCTGCACG